ACTGAAGAAGCTACTTGGATGAGTAGCGAATCACTTCAACCTAATAAGAAAGAAATCCAGTTGCCATGACTCAACTTCCAGATAACTTCATCTGGATGACTGGGAATCTTCACAGATATCGGGGAAGGTGGTGCATAAAATTGTAGTATGTTAGAGAGAACAACAGGAAAATAAGTATGTATTACACAAGGACACATATAACAATACAGATGTTAGAGGAAACATAAAACTGCATGTCAATGCACCACTCTTTTCAGGTGGCAAACTAATAAGGAAAGAGGATCACATCGGGAGGACTTTCATAGGGGAAAAGTGAGCAATCAAGAGCAAATGAAATTGACAAATTTCTCCCTCCCTATTAACACGTTCCATTCCAAGGGCTAAGATGTACAGTAGGACCTCCATCTCTGTGGGATCAGCATTCACTGATTCACTTATCCACAGTTGGAAAATACTGTATTAAAAACAATGAAAGAAAAATCCCAGAAATACGTACAGGGGTACCTCGACTTACAAAAGTCCCTACTTGCGAACGATTTGAGTTACGAACGGCTCTGTTCTCAAAAAAGTTGCTTCGACTTGTGAACAGAGCCTCAACTTAAGAACCAAAAGAAAAAAAAAACCTTTCCTGCCCTTTTTTTTTGACCTAAGTTCATCTTAGGTCAAAAGAAGAAGAAAATAAAATTCGCCCCCCTAGTGGTAGAGTACGGATTAACCGGCTTTGCATTAGTTCCTATGGGAACTAATGCCTCTACCTATGAACAGCGCCTCGACATACGAACGCAAAACAGCAGATACGGATTAAATGGTTTTTAGTGCATTCCTATGGAAAAGTTTGCCTCAACTTATGAACTTTTCAACATACGAACTTTTCGACATACGAACTTAATTCCAATACGGATTAAGTTCGTAAGTCGAGGTACCACTGTATTTCTAAAGGTGAAGTTACCAGAACAGACCACTAGAGGGGATGAGACACCATGTTCGCTAGAGAAATATATTTCCACAGTGGCATTACCAGAACTGTGCACTAGAGAGGGATATAGATCCTGGTACTATGTTGGCTATTAAAACTGTGTTCACTAGACTAAGCGTTTGATGAAGGCAATCCATAGATGCCTCAATCATGCTTCCATTCTTTCTTTCTCTCTCTCTCTCTTCTCCTAACTGCTCCAGGGCCGATCCTACGACCACTACGGGATCTACCACACCAGTCCGACGCTAGGCAGCCTTACCAAGCCGGTGGTGCTGTGGACGCAGCAGGATGTGTGCAAATGGCTCAAGAAACACTGCCCGCACAATTATCTCATCTACGTGGAGGCCTTTTCTCATCATGCCATCACAGGTACCGTACCCACCTGGGCTCTCCCAAAGTGAGGCTAGAGAGAAAAAGGTCATCCGTGAGCAATGACTTGACTTGATTAGGGTTTCTCCATGTGTGTGTTTTTACACAGTAGGGCTGGGGGAATGCACCTGGCCAGATGTTAGGTATTTCTTACGTCTTTAACCCAGTCTCCTACTGGAAGTTCAAGGTCATGTATAGGTTCTCCCTCTTCCTCTGGACTAGAGCAGAAGGGAGGCAGTTTTCTAAAGCTTGGGAGCTTTAGAGCAGGGGATCCCAACCTTGGTTTCCTCTTCCTCTGGACTAGAGCAGAAGGGAGGCAGTTTTCTAAAGCTCGGGAGCCTTAGAGCAGTGGATCCCAACCTTGGTTTGCCAGATGGTATTGGACTGCAACTCCCAGAAACCTGCTCCACTAGCAGTGCCCAACTCCCAGAAACCTGCTCCACTAGCAGTACCAGCTGGCCAGGAATTCTGGGAGTTCTAGTCTAACAACATCTGGGGACCCAAGGTAAGGAACCACTGCTATAAGGACCTCCTGAGCCACTATGAGCAGACTTAAGTCTTACAATATTCCTGGGTTGCCAGGCTTTTTAAAGCAGTAGATCAAGAGGGGCATGATCTCAGGATACATCATTTCCTAAACGCCTAAATTTAGTGGGGGTGTCTGTGAAATTATCATCTCCCTTCTGGCTCATCTTCACAATATCCATGTAAAATAGGCTTGCTTAGAAGTGCAAATGAGGAGTGTGAATAATCTGGTTCAGATGGTGACCCGCAAAGCTCATTAAGAGACTCAGGTCAGTCAACACTTCTAGGCTTCAGCGTATTTCATAAGGTTGTTGGGAAAAGGAATGGAATGAGACCGAGGCTGTTCTACTTTGGGCACATCCTGAGAAGGCAGGGCTCTCTGGAGAAGACCATCATGCTGAGAAAGTGGGAAAGCAGCAGGAAAAGAGGAAGGTGAAATAGGAGATGGACTAACTCCCAAAGCCACAGGGTTGCATTTGTGAGAGCTGAGCAGCCAGTTGAGGACAAGGACATGTTGGAGAGCGCCCATTCATAGGATCACCGTAAGTTGAAGGCAACTTGACAGGGAAGGTGAAATAGGAGATGGACTAACTCCCTAAGCCACAGGGTTGAGTTTGTGAGAGCTGAGTTGAGGACAGGACATGTTGGAGAGTGCCCATTCATAGGATCACCGTAGGTTGGAGACAACTTGACAGCCCGTTAACAACAGCAACAATGGAATGGGAGCCATAGAGAAGGATGATGATGCCAATGTTGCAGGATGGGTGAATCCATCCTGGGTTTTAATCTGAACTTTACAACAGTTACGCAAGGTATGGAACCGTATGCCCGTAACAGATTCAACATCCGGAAAAGCTCCTGCACAGTTTGAAGTAAAACCAGGAGCAGATTTGATTTTCTGAGATAGTGGAGTTATCGGTTTGGAGAACAACAGATTGGAAATAACCGGTAGGGACTGGCATGAAGTCAAGAGGGAGAATCTATCTCTCCCCTTCTCTCCCCTTCATCCTCACATTAGCTCTACACCACAGTGACTTTCTGTGTTGAAAACCTTGTGGAGGATTTATCTTCTTAGCCTGTTATCTTCTCTGGGTGGAAAAGTATCTCAGTTTGGCTTGGCATGTTTCCACAAATCATGGCATGGAACAGTGGTTCCCAACCTTGGGTCACCCAGATGTTCTTGGACTGCACTTCCCAGAAGCCTTCACCACCAGCTGTGCTGCCTGGGGTTTCTGGGAGTTGCAGTCCTACAACACCTGCATTTACCCAAGATATAGAAAGAGTGTTTGGAAGCCTGGAGCTCTAATACTATCAAAGATCAAGTGGTATGCTTTGGATAGTCTCATCATGTCCTTCCTTGTTTTATTCTTCCCCCATGGATGATCTGCCTTAACTTACACTTTTAACCCAGCTTTTCTCCAAGACCTTTTATTAGAGAAGACCATCCTGCTGTACAATCCTAAGATATTATGATTTATTGCGCCCTTTCTTTGCCTCCCCTTATCGTATATATATTATGCGCTACCCTGAACAGCTTCTGCTGGATTCATGCATGGACCAAACTAGATTTATCCCTTAAGATTTACATTTCTCCCTTTAGAACACTGTTTTCAATGAAATCCTCAAAAAAATTAAAAATAAAAATTATCCAAAAGCATTTGAGCATATGATAAATACTGCTAATAAGCGCACATGTTAAGAGCAGGTGGCTGAAACCCTGTTGGACGCCGTCTGCCTGCAGAATGGGAATAATGTCAGCATCCACAACAGAATGCAGTTTGGGGCTGTATTCAGCTTCATTGCCTTCCATGCAAGGCAGAGCTGCACCACAGGATTCCAGCCAGTGCATCCAAAAGGTTTTGTTTGCAATTTATAGAGAATTTCTGTATGAATTGTAATGCAGTTAGAGTATGGAATGGACTTTAGAATGAGGACATAGGTAGACATTGTCGAGAGGGGTGGGGTAGAAATCGAATGAATGAATGAATGAATGAATGAATGAATGAATGAATGAATGAATGAATGAATGAATGAATGAATGAATGAATGAATGAACAAACATACAAACAAACATATCCTGGAAAGTGACTAGACAGAAATATAACTGGCTGGATAGCTCAGTGGTTTAGGTGTCTGGCACAGAGCCAAAGTCTGGGAGTTTGATTCCCCACTGGGCTTTCTGGGAGAAGAGCCAGCCTGTGTAACCTTGGGCAAGCTGCAGAGTCCCAGGTTCCCCCAGAAGAAGGGAACGGTCAACCACTTCTGAGAACTCTCTGCCTGGAAAATGCTGAAAAGGGTCGCCAAATGTCAGAATTGACTTGATAGTTATTAGAAATATAAGGACCAGAACTGATACCCAATATGAGTCGGATGGTCATCTATTAGGGAAGTTCTACCTGTGGATTCCCTGCATTCTCAGAGGCTGGGTAACCATGGTGGGTCCTTCCAATTATAATAATACTCTGATTTGAAAAACCATCCTTCCCTCTGTGTGCCTCCTTTGGTCTCATCCATGTCGTCACATAGCATTAACTTGCCCTGTTAGGCATCTTTGATGCTCATTACGTACCTGGCCCAAGCTTTACAGCATGCCAACCTTTTCTGTTGTTGCTGGGCTGTCTAAAAATAGTAGATCCAGAGGTCTTGATCTTGGGGACAAATGGATCTTTGCAGGGCAGACAGAGTGAAGGGAGGAGATTCATACAGTGGTGCCTCGCTTAACGGGTGCTCCATTTAGCGATGAAACCGCATAGCGACAAAGATTTTGCGATCGCTTTGCGATGTTTCCTATGGGTTTTTTTCACTTTGCGATGACCACTGTGGATTCCCTGCATTCTCAGAGGCTGGGTAACCATGGTGGGTCCTTCCAACTATAAAAATACTCTGATTTGAAAAGCCATCCTTCCCTCTGTGTGCCTCCTTTGGTCTCATCCATGTCGTCACACAGCATTAACTTGCCCTGTTAGGCATCTTTGCTGCTCATTACGTACCTGGCCCAAGCGTTTCAACGTGCCAACCTTTTCTGTGGTTGCTGGGCTGTCTAAAAATAGTAGATCCAGCGGTCTTGATCTCGGGGACAAATGGATCTTTGCAGGGCGGACAAAGAGCGAAGGGAGGAGATTGATATCTTAAAAGTTTTGGGGACCCACTCCTGTCTGAGACGAGAGAAAGTAGCCAAGAATCAATGTTGACGGGTGTGTTTGTCTGGTGCAGCTATTTTTGCTGCACAGATTAACGTCGCTATGCGAGGCACCACTGTATTTTAAAAGTTTTGGGGACCTGTCTAAGATGAGAGAAAGTAGCCAAGAATCAACATTGACAGGTGTGTTTGTCTGGCGTGGCCTGGGTGGAAGATGGGAAAGGAAAGAAGAATGAGGAAAATGTCTGATTTACACACACATACACACAACTTCATGGGAGGGAACATGTTGTAGAGAAAGCAGAGATGCAGAAAGAGATGAGAAATGGATCCGAGGGGGTTAGAGTTTCGTGAGTGTGTGTTTTTCCCATGGTCACAAAAGCTGAAATCCACTGCCTTCTCTGCCCCGAAGGCGAGGATAAAATACTAATGGAATAGCTTATTCAAGTGCTTCTTTGGGAAATAAAGGATACATTAACCATTATGCCCACGAGAGGTTGTAAAATCCATCTTCTAAAAGCTCCTGGATGGAGAGAGAGGGAGGACAACAACCAGTTAATATCCTCCAGTGAAGACGTACCAATCTGTGCACGCACAGGGAAGCTTTAAAAACGAAATACGACCTGATCCAGGAGGCAAGTGGGTGAAATTGAAAAACATGGCCCCCAGAAACGGCTGTCCTTAAAACTGCTGGATTTTGCACAACCAGTTCTGTGCTGTTGTGTTTTGTGACTGTACTCTCAGAGGGTCGCTTTCCCTTCTGGTAATATTTTTTTTGCACCAGAATTCTGTTCTGTAGCTTTGCTCAGTGGCTACAGGCAGAAAGGCTGTCTCTAATTTGAGAGCTTCTTTTGTGGTTATGGAGTTTGTGCAGACTTTCACACAACCCAGAACAGAAAAAGGCAGTCTGCCTTGGCTGGTGATACCGTCTCTGTTGCCACCAGTATGGCAATGGAACCAGTCACCATGAGGGGTGATGAGTGCTCCTCCAACACTGGAGGCATTCAAGAGAAAATTGGACAACACTCTTGTCAGATCTGCTTTGGTTTGGATTCCTGCACTGAGCTGGGGGTTGGGCTTGATGGCCTTAGAGGGCCTTTCCAACTTCATTATTCTATGGTTTTATGGTTCTAAGCTATTGACCATTATTTCGTTAAATTATCACCCTACCTATGGCCGGAGGGGACATGCAAAAGCTATATAAAGGAATGCCCATTGTCTGTCTGTCTGTCCATCTATCTATTTTTCTATTTACCTATTGCATTTATATCCAACACCCCCTTGCCTCATGTCTATGGGTTGGTTTCCAAAGTGAAAATATCGATGATCAGGGAAAATAACCAAGCATATGTTTGCAGCCACCCCCACAGGTGTTTTTTTCTTAGCTGACATCAGAAAAAAACTGCCACTGTTAAAGGACCACTCAGTAAAAAGATTTGGTATAGCAGGGCTGAGAAATATTTAGTGACATGCTGTTTTATTCTTTGGACTCCAAATCCCAGAATCCTTCAAAGATTCCCCAGACAGAATTCCAGAATTTCCAGCCCATGAACACACACCTGCAGACACCTTCATTTCGCTCGCCTGGACAAAGCAGAGGTCTTCTTCTTGGCCTTCTACTAAGACTTCGTTTCCTGCTGCAATGCATCCTGGGGGTGGTAGTCTCATTGCCTGTTTTGCTCTATAATGGGCAGGCATGGGGAGGGGCTATATAGGGCTCAGGGCTTTGGTGCAGGAGGACGGGGTTGGCCATTTCCCTTTTACTCCTGTCCCAAGAAAAGCGCCCCCCCAGCCAATTTTACCTATACGCCAATTTTGCGTGTAGAAGCTTCCAGGTTCAGTCCCCGGCATCTCCTGTTGCCAGAGCCATCCCTACTACTTCGTTTCCTGCTGCAATGCATCCTGGGGGTGGTAGTCTCATTGCCTGTTTTGCTCTATAATGGGCAGGCATGGGGAGGGGCTATATAGGGCTCAGGGCTTTGGTGCAGGAGGACGGGGTTGGCCATTTCCCTTTTACTCCTGTCCCAAGAAAAGCGCCCCCCCAGCCAATTTTACCTATACCTCAGGTGAAGGAGCAGCAGTTGCTTTGCATGTAGAAGCTCCCAGGTTCAGTCCCCAGCATCGCCTGTTGCCAGAGCCAACCCTACCATTAGATAGTGTGGAGCAGCTGGTTTGGAATGTTATGAATGATCAAAAAATGGTTAGCAATTTAAATCTGAGTAGTCTAGAGGAGGGGGTAAAAATCCAATAAATAAATAAATCTATTGTTCAATTATTTAAAAAAAACTTTATGAATACGGGATATTGTGCTTCTGTACTCACCATACAAAAAGCCAGAAAATGGCCCGAATATTGCTGCACAATATTGTGCCCGCGTTGACAGCAGGAAAAAGAAGGCCAAGCTTTACACAGGAAAGGGTGTTGATGACATCCACATCCACATCAGCAGTCAAGATGATCTACAGGATCCCGTCTTGTGCTCCCTACCATTCACAAAGGGACACCATGCAAGGGAAATATCCCAGAAGCTGGCTCCTTTCTTCATCAGTCAACCACTTCTTACCCAAACACAGCAACGGTCAGGGCTGTTTTTTCAACAAGTGTGCCTGTCCGTGAGCGCAAGAGGGCACCAAGAAAGACTTGCCCATTCATTCACTCTGTGAGGGAGGAACGGGGCTTGTGAGAATGTTTGGCCTCCAAGTGCCAGCATGACCCAACCGGTTTAAAGTCAAGAGAGAAAGGCTGGTTTCCTTGACGTCTTCCTCCATTGTCCTTGGGTTTCTCTCTTTGGCAGGTCGGGCGCTCTTACGGCTGAACGCAGAGAAGCTGCAGCGCATGGGGATCATCCATGAGTCTCAGCGGCAGGAAGTCCTCCAGCAGGTGCTGCAGCTTCAGGTGCGGGAAGAAGTCCGCAACTTACAGCTCCTCAGCCAAGGTAGGGCCGGAGGAAGGCGGGTGGCCTCTGAGGGGCTTCTCCTCGCTGCCTGTAGCCATGTCTGTCGGCACTCACTTTTAACACCCTCTGCCAAACACACAGCAGGAAGGTGGAGGGAATTGTGTGGGGCACAGTGACATGGCCAGTGGGGCCAGCCTAGATGGAACAATGATGTTTTGAATTTCTACCAGTTGTGTCATTGCTCAGGGTGGACCTCTCTAGTAGGAGAGAGAAAGGAGGGAGGTTCAGACCTTCTAGCCTGAGAAAGTATACCAGGCAGAGCATGGAAAAGTTAATTTTGGGAACTGAATTTCCAGAATATCCTCCCAATGAGCAACTGTCTGTCTGTCTGTCTGTCTGTCTGTCTGTCTGTCTGTCTGTCTGTCTACATCTGTACATCTGTCTGTTATATTTCTATATTATGTTTCTCTCAGAATTAGGACACTGCATTGCTACTTAGATGTCCTTTTACAATACTTATACTGCCTATAAAAAACAAAAAAAAAAAAAAAAAAAAAAAAAAAAACCAAGCCACATTTCCTTTTATATAGTTCTAAAAATCTAAACATATTTCTTCTTTATATTTGAGGTACAATTCTGCAATAAATATCCATTTGAAATACAGGTAAAATATACAGACAACAACAACTTTTCCAAAATTTGGCTCTCCCCTCCATCACCACTCTATGTAAACCACCATTAACACCAGTGATGCCAGTTGGGAGTATTTTGACTGGGATCATCCCGAAAAGTAATTTTTCCAAGTGCTGGTAATAGGTAGTTTGGGGATGAAGTTTTGAGTTGTTCTGTTTTAGTAACTTTAAGAGGCAAAAGGGAAAATGGTTTTAATGGGGTGTTGTATTATGCCTAAGGGAAATCTGTCTTCCCTTGAGTCCTTCATTCCTCTCCTGCACTCTCTCTCCTCCATCCTTGGGTTCTTCTTTTCCACTATAGTGGTGCCTCGCTTGACGACGTTAATTCGTTCCAGCGAAATCGCTGTAGAGCGAAAATGTCAAACGAAATTAAAAAACCCATTGAAACGCATTGAAAACCGTTCAATGCGTTCCAATGGGCTGAATACCTGCTTGTCCAGTAAAGCTCCTCCATACGGCGGCCATTTTTGGTGCCTGTAAAGCGAGGAATCCATCCTAGAAAACAGCAGGGGGGCATTTTCTTCAGCCGGTGGCCATTTTGAAACCCGACGACCAGTTGTTTGCTGATCGTCATAAAGCGAAAATCGGTTCCCGAAGCAGGGAACCAACCGATCATCGCACAGTGAAAAAAACCCATTTAAAACATCATTTTGAAATCGCAAAAGTGATCGCAAAAACATCAAAGTAAAGCAGATTCGTTGTAGAGTGGGGTAATCGTCCAGCGGGGCACGACTGGAACCTGCCTCTCAAGCTCTTCCCCATTTCACTGCCTTCCCCGAATCTTTGTCTGCCCCTTTCCAAACATTAACACTTCCCTGTTTCTATGTCTCACATGCACCATCCTTCCTCACCATCGTCCTTCATCCCATACCTGTGGCTCCAGTGAGACGGCTCCTGTCCGCATCCCGTTTCCCCATCTTCTCCGTCACGTCGTCTTTCCAGATGTGCGGCTCCTGAAGCAAGATTGGTTGCAACTCCTGAAGCAACTCTTGTGCCTCTATGCTTGTTGTGGGCCATTTCCAGAGGCTGGGGAAGAGTGGGGTGAGGGTATAAACACACCCTAAACCTTGATTGATGAACCTTGAAAAGCCCCATTTCC